GGCACGATCTTCATGTGATACTCATGTGATTCTTGCGCTGCAATAGTTTCATATTAATAGCAAACCGTTTGCCGGTATTATGATTGTTATAACACATGACACTTACACTGAGCGCCAGTTTTGTCCACTTGTTTGAGAGGATTGAAGTTAGCGTTGATGTCGAACGCATCCATCGGATCCCCGAACGACACCTCATGGATCACATGAGTCATGTCGATGTGGTCGGGCTGTTGTTTAGCCGAATGGGTGGACACGTGGAAGTTGCCGGCGACCCGATTGATCTTAAATGAGCCCTCAAACCGACACCCAATGCCTGAGTTGATCACTATCTTGTCGGTGTTGTCCACAAACCCCACCTCATGTCTGCCGTTCTCATCCTGGATGTCGAGTCCCACCACTAATACATCAACAGATCAACACATTTGCATCTAATGTCTCATCAATACTGACCAACACATGACAGCTTTGGAAGTGATATATTCAATCGGACGGCTATTTTGTCGCTCTCTCCCACGTTATCCACAAACAGTTCACTCGTTCTGTCAATCAATCACTTCCAGAGTTAGTGGTTATGTCTGCCATCAGTTACAGTCAAACGAATCAATTGAACCATTGGTTGCAATTGATCCACACTTTACCAGTCTGTGTGTCTTACATTTGAGTGGAGATAAAGTCAAACAACTCTGAGATGAAGAGGAATGCAATCAAAAGGAGACAACAGATGGATATGACGGCACCCGTCACAGTGGCCTGAGTCAGGTCTTTGGGTACTTTGCGGTACACATCAAACCTATGAGACAGTCATCAGGAGTGAGCCACTTGTGTGCATACATTGTCAGACATACCGGCGGACATCGAAAGACATGACCAACCATTCAATGGATTCAATCGACAGTCACTTCAAGTCAATGACAACAATGTTTGACAACAAACACACAATCAGTACACGTGTTGTCAACAACTGTAACATTACCACCACTTCACTGCACTGCTCGCACACCCGTACTCTACTATGCAATACAGATAAATGCATACTTAGGAGTGCAGTGAAGCCTTAAAAAGGGCAAATAATTACAGTACTGTACAGTGCAATACCGTATAAGATAATACCGTGTACATTAAATTTTGTGTAGATATTGTACCAAGCAAAGTTGGTTTGTAAAAGTTGTCAAACAATAACTTTGCCGTATACAATATAACTGTAATATATTATTCAATATTACAGCACTAAATAATAATTATTAAGATTCTGATAATAATACAAGTTAAATAATATAAATTGAAGTTAAAATATTAGATTTTAATAAAAATCCGGATAATTAATACAAAAATGTTGAAAATCTGGTATTACGGTTATACAGTACAAAGGTACAGTATAAAATAAACACCCAAGTTAAATGTTTAACCTAAAGCGAAATATTTCACTGAAATTTTCATCCTTAATAATAATTATCCTGAGACATTGTCATACACAATATTTATGATATAAATTAATACTGTATTATTAATCATAAAGTTGAGAGTAAATGATAATTTTCTAAATTATAGAATTATAGTGAAAATCATGAAATTTCTAAAAATCATAAAAATCAGTAAAGATTAGTAAAAATCATAATTTCTCATTTTTAGAATAACTGTAAATAAATGAAAAATAATACAATTGATGCTTAAAACTAATTGTTAAAAGACATGAAGACATTTCAAATGATGATATTGGAGTTATTTATTAGAATACGGTAATACTGTATTATAAAATTATATGCAATAATCTGTTTACAGAATACTGTATTTCGGTATATAATAATTTTATAAAGCACCATATATTAGTTAAAAACATATTGAAAGTTTTAATTTTTCTCTCGATTTAGACAATTATATTAATACTAAATGACTTGGTTTTCAAGATTTGGAAAGTGAAATAGTTACTAATTAAAAACTGCTAGATACTTTATATATTTTGAATTAACTAGAGTAGTAATAATTGTTCAGAAGCTATTTACACTAAAATTTATTTTAATTAATGGAGAATTTAATACGAAAAATATTATTTTAAAAGATTAGTGAATTTCATTAAAACTAAATGCGATAAAAGTATTTAAAATGTTCAAACGTTTTCATTGAGTTGTAGTTTATCGGTTTTATGAATGCTTTGTGATTATACTCTACTATATTATCAGTGGTGGAATTGACTGTAAATCAGGTTTGACTGTAATTTAAATAAGTGTCGTTTGACTGTAATCTGAATATCATGTAATTTAATGGATTTATATTTGGTTTGATTACTGAAGAGATAGAAAGCGGATAT